TTCAAGGAAGCTCCCCCCGCCGCCCTAATTGGGGGGAGGGAGCTTCCTTGAAGAAGCGCTCGCGCTGTTCATTCGGTTCCTAGACTTTTAGGGAAAACTTAAATAATGTGCTCTTGCAGCAGTTGCTGTGGCCCTCCCCTATCTCTTTCTCTCCAGATTTTATGTTTTTGTACTTCCATATATCTACGTTTGTACGTGTATATGCCGTCCCCGCCCCACAGACCCACCTTTCTGCAATCTTCTGCTAAGGAATTGGGATGCCTTTCTCTTAGTTGTGAGTTTCCTGTGTTTGAAAAGTTGTTGATGTTTAATTTACCCTTCATAACAAAATGATAGCGCCGCAACAGTCTGGAAGCTCCGGGTCTTCAATGCTATTCTACAAAGGAAGATCCTTTACGGACTTGAAAGTATCGAGCCCACGACGCAAGACGTTTCCAAACTCAATGCTTTTGAAATGAAAGGTCTGGGTCTATTTCTCAAAATTCCACCGACATTCATTGATCGCTGATTAATCAAAGCGTCCTCGACACACTTCGTGACACCTATCACACTCACACGGAAAATTTTGCCAACACTTCGAAAAAAGTTGAAAACTACCTGGTCATAGTTAAGACCCTCACCTTTAGACCCTACAAGGCAAGTTTTGTTTGGTTGTCGCGAAAGCTGGCAAGCTAGCTGAGTTCTTCTTTGCTTTAGCGACTTTGTACTGGGATGAGCTTCGCGCCTTAAAGCTTGATATTTCATGCTAGGCCCCCCCCTTACTGTGATACATCAGGCTAACCGGCCAACCCTCCACCACCTTTCATGGTTCGACTCCCAACTGCGCCACTTGAAGGGATCTACGTCGTGTTCTTTCTGCGAGCCTCTTCTTTCTTTAATATTTGACCGGCGTACGCCGCCGGCCTCCACGGCAAAATCTTGTTGGTTGAGCGCACGTAGGTTTGGTGTAAACGGTGGTTGTAGTTGGTGTAAGCCGTGGTTGGGTGTAAACGGTGGTTGGTGCAAACCGTGGGCAGGTGTAAACGGTGGTTGGTGTAAACCGCGGTTTGGTGTAAACGGTGGTTGGTGTAAACCATGGTTTGGTGGACTGTGTAAACGGTGTTGTGTAAATTTGGTGTAAACGGTGGCTGGTGTACCGTGGTTGGTGTAAACCTTGGCTTGGTGTAAACAGTGGTTGGTGAGAACCGTGGCTTGGTGTAAACGGTGGTTGGTGTAAGCCATGGTTTTGTTTAAATGGTGGTTGGTGTAAACCGTGGTTTGGTGTAAAGGTTGGTTCGTGTAAACCGTGGCTTGGTATGTGGCTGGCGTAAACCGTGGCTTGGTGTAAAGGGTGGCTGGTGTATACCGTGTTTTGGTGTAAGCGGTGGTTTGGTGTAAACCGTGGTTGGTGTAAACCATGTTTTGGTGCAAGCCGTGTTGGTGTGGCCGTATGCGCTTGGGAGCTTGGGTGCTCGGTGCCGCTGCCAGGTGCGTGGCCGTGTGCGCTTTGGAGCTTGGGGGCTGGTGCCGCTGCAGGGTACCGCTCGTGGGTGCTGTGTGTTTTTGGCCGTGTGCGCTCTAGAGCCTGGGTGGTGTGGTTGGTGGAGGGCGCTGCAGAGTGCCGCCGCTGTGCGCTGGCCACAAAAGTCTTGTTGCTAGCGGGGTCAATGCTGGCGTATTTGAGGTAACTACATTGTTATTATGCTGCTTGGTGCGGCTTGGTGCTGCAGCTGCTGGTTGGTGGCGGTTCTGCTGCTACTGCTGCTGCTGCTTGGTGCTGCTGCTGCTGCTGCTGCTGCTGACGCCGCTGCTGCCACTGCTGCTGCTGCTGCTGCTGGTGCTTTGCTGCTGCTGCTTTGCTGCTTCGCTGCTGCTGCTGCTGCTTTGCTGCTGCTGCTTTGCTGCTACTGCTGCTGCTGCTGCTGCTGCTGCTGCTTTGCTGCTGCTGCTGCCGCCGCCGCTGCTGCTTCTTTGCTGCTGTTTGTTGCTGCTGCTGCTGCTGCTTGTGCTGCTGCTTGTGCTGCTGCTGCTGCTGCTGGTGCTGGTGCTGGTGCTGCTGCTGCTGCTGCTGCTGATGCTGCTGGTGCTGCTGCTGCTGCTGCTGCGGCTGCTTGGTGCGGCTTGGTGGTGGTGGTGCTGCTGCTGCTGCTTCTGGTTGCTGTTGCTGGGCTGCTGGGGTGCTTTTGCTAAGCTGCTGAGCTCTATCTAAGCTCTATATTTTTTGCCCACCTCCATCGCCTCAAATGAAGTGTACCTTATTTTTAATATATCTTCGATGGTATGTTGACGCGAGGATTGAGATTTGACCTCAGCGACCGCAGTGCGGATAAAGAAACTGCCACTGTGCTTCCGCTAGCTTTCGACTTCCCCCTGGCCTCAACCTGGGAAACCTGGACATTCTTGGCTTCACTTTCAAAGATGCCTTTTGGTATGCTGGGCCGTTTGTGCAGTATGATCCTGACAATGCTGAACACTTATGTCATCCAACAAGCTCAGACCAGACAAGCCTCTATCGCAGCTAATTTGATTTCTTCATCGAATGACGTCATCCAAGGCGTCGCCTACCTATGGTGGTAGGTCGACTCTGTCTTGCGCTGTGCATAAATATATGTTGCTGCAACACATGCTACTCTGATGCATAGCATGATGGCCACAATGTCCAAATATGAAGACCATCAACTGTGCAACCCTCTTTTGATGCTTTCCATCCTTGTCTCTTTCTCCCTTCATCATCTTCAAGCAGGCGCACGCCGGAAGGTGTTTCAACTTTTTTGCCCAGGTTTCACCCGAACATTGCCGACTTACCTACCTGGTTTTCTTCTCTTTCTTACCTATAGGATTCGGTGCGCAGACTTGGTGTTTGCACGTTGACAAACAAACTGACAGCCCTATCCAGGTCTACAAAGGAACTCAATTCCCTGCATTTCCTCAGGGTTGCTGCTTCATTTACTGGAAACAAATACCAAACTAAAGCGTATGTATGTTCATTACTTTTAAACAGATTCGATTGCAAATCCATAGGTCATATGTTTTAGATTGTTTTTTGGAAAACACATGACCAATCAATAAATCAGTTGATCTTCGGCAGGATTTTGAACCAAATTCAATTAGACACTAGTTGCAACTAGGGAAACCTATTTATATAACTTTGAAAACAATTAAAACATTTCTATTAGCAAAAACATAGAAAGCCTATAACTTCATTGCTTTTAAATGCAACTTCAACACGAACAATTTAACGTATTTGTTGAAGGATTTTATCAAGTTGTTAATAGGAAACAAATTAGTAGTAGAGACAAGGCTAGTATTGGCAGTAGTGGTGGCGACAGTCGTTGTTGTTGTCGTCCTAGTAGTAGCCAGTGGTTAATGGGAGTAAGTAGCCATAAAACATGTTGGAAACTTCCGCGCCCTGACTGAATAAGGACATGTTCTAAGGTGCATCAGTGTCAAGCCAACATGCGGAGTTGTTGGACCGGTTTGAAGACAGATCATTTTGAAACAATCAGGTTTTGAAGATCCGGGCTGCTGTCTGATTGATGATTTAGACGATATTGAATGCAGATGACATGCGTTTTTTCATCACGTGCTGCAGGAGATGCTTCATATGTATATAGATAATTTTTAACCTTGAACAACTTGTGGGACACCACTGCAAATGCCAATAGGCCAATAGGTGAGTCTGTGAGGGGGGTACCACATATATAAATGTATATACATACGTAGATAATATAGCATATAACATCTCTTCGCATATGTTTCTTATAGATCTACTGTACGTGATGTCAGTGTGGATGTGCATCCCGCAGGCGCTCGACTTTGTGTCCAGACTGCCACAGCTGATTCACGCCAAGACCTCTGCTGGAAACCCAGAAAACCACTCACGTTTTGCAAAGCCCTTGAGTGATGTTGGGACAGCTTCCACTTTCTCGCGCATGCACATATGAACAATCCATACTTCTCTTTACAGGTGTGCAGAACGGGCTTGATTGTGCACAACGCATACCCTTTTGTGGATACATTTGGGGTGCTTGCCAATATGTACAATGTGCGCGCACACACACACACACCCCAACAAACTGAGAATTGGCGGTCGTATTACTGAAAAGGGCGCGCTTCAGTTTATTCACATGACATTGGAACACACAGGACAAGATGTGGCAAGCTGCATGAGGGTATGTGAAGGGCAGGATTTGGAACATAGATATGAGTTGGCCGTTGGTGCAGGAGAGGTTGCTAGTGCATTGATTTTGTACGGTGTGTTACTTGGGCAGGCCCAGTAGCTTGCAACACGCCAGCTGTCCACTGAGCCATCAATTGCCAGCATTTGTTTTAAGGACTGGATAACGAAGAGGTTGTTGGAGCCAGACTTAAGGTTTCGCAGCTTTTTTTGTTTGGATGTTTCGTTTCTTGATTTTTGCATATCTTTGCAGTGTTTTGGTTTCGCTGAGGTTTTTGTTCTTTTGAACCAGGTTGAGTTGTGTCAACGTTGCTGCTTGAGTTTGTGCTTCTAGATTTTGGAGGTACATTCAGAAAACAGCAGCTTTGTCAATAACAGACGGCTTGCACTGAATTTGGCAATTCCTGCATAGAAATTGGGGGAACGCCCTGCAAAGCCAAAAACGACTTCCGTAGTTGTCCAACTCTGTACATTGACACGTTGGGAGTGCACCAGTTTCACCAAGAGAGCTCGTAAACGAGCACTCAGTGAAGGGCTTGAAACCATTTCACCCGAAAAGGCCGAAGACACAATCGAGCCCTTGCTCCTTCAAAACCGTCTTAAGACAAGTCATCTGCACAACAATGCTAATTGGCAGCTGCACTGCACTTCACGCTTTTGCTGGCCCTTTAAGTCAAAGCTGCAAATGACCAGATTCTCTCTGCGATTTCTGGCCTTCTTTGGGTGAAGAGATTTTGCAGCCAACAATTGAAACGGTTTCTTGCTGTTGTTCTAGTGTGCTCAGACATGCAACTTCCTCTTCAGACGGAGGATGCCTTTGTTTTTGGTGGGCACAGCTTGAGAGGCACAAGATTCACGTGGTGGACCTGGGGGAGCCGAGCTCTTAGCTATATAGCTCAGACGAGAGGTTACAGCTAGCCACAGCCCTGAGCCTTGAAATTGGTTCACCACCACCACCACCACCACCACCACCACCACCACCACCACCACCACCACCACC